CCGCATAGTCCTAATGCCTGACACCTGGGGAGCATTGTGGGCCAGGGCAGGTGTTAATGCTCTATGCACACCATTTTAGTTCTCACTGAAGCCTTAAGAACCAGGCACTGGTGTTATCGCCATTTTAAATGGTGCACGTGAGGGCCAGAGAGGTTGAATAACTTCCTCAAGGTCACACAGTAAGTGGCAGAAGCCAGGGCACACATTCCCAGTGTTTTCCTTCACTGCTTCATTTCGGGCAATCCTGCCAGTTGGTGAGGCAGACGTAGGATTTCGATCCTGTGTCCCTGTGTTACATAAAGGCTAGCACTTCTATAGCTCTCACTGTACGCCAGGCTCTGTTCTGAGACTTTACAGGTCAACTCAGGGAGAGACAGCAGAGACTGGCTTGCCGAGGATCACACAGGGGCTCCCCACTACACTCTGCAGGGACACCTTCCAGCAGACCACGTGGACTCCCTATAAGCAAGTGTGTGTGTCTTCCGGGCCGGGAGATTGGGCACTACACCTTCGGGAAATCCTCATTACCAGTCTTCCTTATAGAGCCATGGCTGTCCTGCTGGCTTCCAGGGGGACACCCCATGGCAAAGCCAGGCTGGGTTAACACTGGAAATTCAGGAGAGGGATTTGGAAAGGCCTGGGCTGCAAGGCTAGGCTGAGCCAGGCACAGAACCTCAGGCATTAACACCAAGGTGCAATACCACTCTGCTCCTAAGTTGAGCACCTGGGACTACCGCAGAAACAGAACGGGTACTAGAAACCCAAGCCAGGAGGCCAAGGCTGCTGTCCCTGCTGCCGGGCAAATGGAAGGAAAGGGGCCAAGAGTGCTTTCCCTGCAGAGACATAAGTGACCAAAGTCCCAACCTGGCTGCCAGGATCACCCAAAGATCATTCCAGTACATCTGTGTACACACAGATGTGCTCGGCCCCACTCCCACGTTCTAATTAGGTGGAATTCCACACATGTCATTTTTATTGGGATGGGAAGTTTCGCTTAAGATCTAAGAGAACAGGGGCGCCTGGGTGGCTCAGTTGGTTAAGCGACTGCCTTCGGCTCAGGTCATGATCCTGGAGTCCCGGGATCGAGTCCCGCATCGGGCTCCCTGCTCGGCAGGGAGTCTGCTTCTCCCTCTGACCCTCCCCCCTCTCATGTGCTCTCTCTCATTCTCTCTCTCTCAAATAAATAAATAAAAAATCTTAAAAAAAAAAAAAAAAAAAAAAGATCTAAGAGAACAATCAAGTAAGAGTAAGAGGCCCCTCTCCTGACCCCAGGAAGGCAGCATTGTGGGCCTCTGAGACCTCACGACCACTCTCAGGAGAGGGAGAACAGGGTGGCGAAGTGTCCATTCAAGGGGCCTAGTGGAGTGTGGGTGCAGGGCTAGAAGACAGAGCAGTCTTCTGCAGAGTTCAAAAGGAATTCAGGCTGGGAGGGGGTGCTCAAAGACGCCCAGTCAGGGATGCTGGGACTCACCACAGTCCCCCAGTCCAGAGTCACTTGGCATCCTGCTGCCCAAGCCCCACTCACCCCCTGCCAGGAAGGAGGCCCAGTATCCCCTACACTGGGGTTGAATGCCGAGGATGAGGGGACGGACTCAGGTCTCTATCCGCACTACACCCTCAAAGCATCAGCATGACGCCAGAAGGCCTCCATTATCCTCGGTTAGATCTGAGAGCCAGGGGGCGGGAGGCGGGCAGAGTTGGGGCAACCTTGGGGGCCTTACTTGGGGGGCGTGGTGCGCACCAGGACCCTGGCCGCCTCCCGAGGGGCCACATGCCGGCAGGTCACCACGAGGCGGGGCGCCACGACCACTCCGGAGCCCCAGACGGTGCCGCACTCCACCAGCACGGCCGCAGCTGCCCACGGGGGGCCGGGGTCTCGGAGGGGCAAGCCCCACGGGGCGCCCATCTCCGGCGGCAGGAGGGCGGCCAGGGCGTGGGTGTCAGGGCCCAGGCGGCCGAGAGCGGCTCGGGCGGCGCGCAGGAGAGGGGTGGCGGCGCAGAGCAGCGTGAGGCCCACCCACTCGCGGGCCTTCCAGCAGAGGGGCGCGGCCACGAGCGCCACGAGCGCCCCCGCGGGCCGCGCCGCGAACACGCCGCCGCCCTCGGTGCCCGGCAGGCAGCGCGCGTCGGTGAGCAGCAGCGGACCCGCTGCGTTGCTGAGCACGCCGCGGCTGAGCGTGTTGAGGAAGATGTCCGGGCAGAAGGCCCCGAACGGGGAGCCGCAGGCCAGCAGCGGCGCGCCCTTGGGCACGGCCCCGGGAGGCGCCACGGCCACGACCGGCCCGCGCTCCTCCGCCGCCGCCGCCTCCTCCTCCTCCTCCCGGTCGGGCCGCACGCGCAGCAGCGCGAACCAGCCCAGCGCTCTCAGCTGATCTTCCTCCTCCTCCTCCGACACCTCGTCGTCCGGCGCCGCGCTCGCGAAGCGCCACTGCTCGGCCGCCTCGCCCCCGAAGAGGCGCGCGAAGTGGGCCCGGAAGGCCGGGCAGCTCAGCAGCAGCAGCAGCTCGGCGGGCCGCGGGGGCTGCAGGAGCCGCCCGCCGGATCGGGCCGGCGGGCCGGGCTCCGGGCCGGCGCACTGGGGCGTGCACAGGCCCGTACGGCCCCGCTCCGCGCGGCCTGCGGGGCTCGCGGCTGCCGAACCCCACTGCACGTGCAGGCGCAGGTCGTCACCGCAACTGTCGCCGGGCAGGAAGGCGGCGCCGGCCGCGGTCAGCGCCGCGCTCCCGGCCCGCAGGAAGGGGGTGAAGATGCCCCCGTGGCACAGCACCAGGTCCGGGCAGCGGCTCAGGATCACCCCGCTGCAGCTCCACGAGCCCGCCTCGGCCTGCCCGGCCCGGGAGGCGCTCACCACGCAGCCCGCCTTCTCGGCCGCCCTCATGGAGGGCCCCCACTGCCGCGCCATGTCTTCCAGAACGGTGCACACGGGGTTTCCAGAGGAACGAGGGAGAGAGCGAGGACCCGGGTCGGGATCCACGGGTCCCACGCAGCGCCACCCAAAGCTGGAAGGGAGAGGTGCAAACACTGACTCAGGTCTTCCTCGTCGGGCCCGATTGGCTAAGCCCCAACTTGCCCGGCCCCATTGGCTGGGCTTGGGGCCGAGCCCTGATTGGCTGCCTAGGCTGACCCCGTCCCTTTCCCCGCCCTCGTTGGCTCGGGCCACCTGTGCGATCTCGGGGCCGAAGCCGTCCCGGAGGATAAGCTCAGGGAGAGGGACGGCGTGTGGTTTTACCGAGAGACCGGGCTTGGGTAAGGCGGAGTCCCTTTTCTGTTCGTTGGGCTGCAGGAAAAAATAGAAATGAGGGCCGTCGTGGCTAGACTTGCCCAGGCAGTGATAGGACCTGCGTATCTGCTCAAGTCTAAACCAGCGGTCTCTGACCCCTGGCATGCTAAGGGCAAGGAAATCCTTGGCCCCTTGGCCGAGGTAGTAATTTGAAATTTTGTAAATAAACCCTACAGCAATCCACTAGGTGGCATGCAGCTCACAGGACTACACCTAGGACCTTTTGATGCCAAAGCCCAAGACAAAACTGATGAAAACTGGGTTTGTGCAGAATAAAATTGCCCTTTAAGACTATGATGAACAGTAACCCGAAGTCAAAATTTTCAATTCTACAACCTATAGTTTCCAGTGTGCACATTTCATAACCACATATAACATTTATAACCACACCTAGGATTTATCTAGGTCGGGGGCCAAACACTTTTTCCATGAAGGGCTAGAGCCTCAGTGGTTCAGGTTTTGCGGGCCATACACTCTCTCAAATACCCAAGTGTGCAGTCGTAGCAGGGCAAAAGCTAAAGGAATGGATGGCTGTGCTCCAGTAAAACTTCCCTTTGGACACTGAAATCTGAATTTTATATGTCACAAGACAGCGTTTTTCCCCCCACAGGCCATACAAAACCAGGCAACCGCCTAGATTATTGGAGTACATATGTCAGCATTAACAAAAATTATTCAATTACTACTTAAATTACATAACTTTTCTGCCTCAATTTCCAAATAAAACTAAGCTGCTCCAACAAACCTGCTGGAGAAAGTTAAATGATGACCCATCGTAGTATGAGGTGGGACTGAGATTAGCAGTCTTCCATAGCAGGCACGGTCTTCTTTTGGTTCTGTGACACAGAAGATGCCTCGATCACAGGAAAATCTAATCATCCCAACTTCCTAGCAATTAAGAGTTTCTCTCTCTCGAGTCCCATGATACTCCCTTAAATGACGCTCAAGCCTCCAGCATGAACCGTTTGTTATGCGTCAGGTTTTTCTGCTTACAGCACATTAGAGTCCCCAGTCACAGCCAGCAGCCAAGGTGAAACCCCCTGAGTGCTGGGCTCATTGACTCAGTCTGCACTTTTCATGTTCCACTCTAACTCAAATGACACACATTATTTATAAACATAGAACCCATGGCATCATTTTAGTAACAGGGACATTAGTTTCAATCACAAGATGCCTCTAACACTTTTAATGCTTGGTCAAAAAGGACCTGTTGCATTTTGCTTCCCATTCTATTTGCCCCATTACTTTAGTTTTAGAATCTCATTTGGGTTTTCTAAAAACAAGGCTTCCTACAAACCTGGTAAATGTACAAGCACACATTTCATTCCTTTCCCTATTTTACCAAATGCAGCACTCAACTGAAGCTCTCCAATTTTGTATAAAATGATGAATGGTAAACAGCTAAACTGGACCCATTCCTTGCTAGCATGTTAATAGGAGATTTTGTTTAGAAAGTATACCACCAATCCTGGGATCACATGTTCGAAGCCTCTCAAATGGTACTAAATTTACTACTTTGAAATGCGTGAATTGCCCTAGCCTTTTTTTTCTCCCGGTAGCAAAACTTGTCTCTCATATCCTTTGTAAGTATTTCTTCCCCTAGGAAGGGAACAACTTTTGCTTCCCCACCCCCACCACACACAACAAACGTCAGGATATGTTCAAACTCAGAACCAACCAACGCAAATAAATGAAAAAATAAACGGCACAAGATAGCAAGTTTGTTTTAACTTTTTATTAAAATGCTTAGGATACAGACTGACTTTCTTTTGTAAATGACTGTTTTAACTTTTCCTGAAATAGGACATATATGCACTCTGATAAAACAGAATGAAAAATCTCAATTCATGGGAGTTCCTGTACAAAGCTCTGATCCTCCCTGTTAAGAGCCAAGCTCCTCACAGCAGCTTCTTTTGCTATCTTTTTATAGAACAGGGTTTTCTGTGGAGCAAGAAATAGATGCCAGCTGACTTTTCAATCCCCTCTTTCTCCAGTGGCCAAAATAAACCACTTTCACAAAGAGCTGAGCTGTGTAGAATCCATAGTTTTCTAGCTTGCTACGAAGTGATTAGGGACAAAGAGGAAAACACAAAAACAAAAAACAAAAAAACTAGCACTGCGATCATACTTCTCAAGTCTCTGGATAAAGAAGTATGGGTTACCTTTAGCCAAAGGAAATTAAAAAGTGTGCAAGTTAACTACCTAGTTCACTCACCATTAGCTAGATTTGTTCATTTAAGGCTTTCACCCCTTTCCAAACGAACAATTTTGTTTTAATCCAGCTATGCTTGCTAACAGAGGAAAGGCATGCTCTTCCCAGGTTTATCCTTCACTGAGCCTCTGCATTTGGTACCTGGCAGTGAGAAAGTATACTTTCCTAATAGGTCAGTACTGAAGACTAACAATGAGAAATCCACTAAAGAGTAATACTCTCACTCACCCCTGGAATATGTTATCCACACTTTCCCTACCCTCACATTAGACACAAGAATCCCACTGAATTTAGTTCAAACCTTTGCATCTTCATCACAATTTTCAGTTTTGAGGAAAACTACTTCTAATCTCGCATTAAAGAAAAAGGAAGATATCCACCCATTTTAAGAAAGGCTCTAATATTGGTTAAGATCATGAAAATCCAATTTTACACATGGCACTAAGAAAAAAGAATGCTATAAAAATGATCCTCATCACACTACTGGGCATGCTGAGGCTTTTTATACTGAGCTCTTAATGACAAGTGATGCTGGCTCAAAAAGAACAACACTACACAAAGTTCTTAAGAGTTTCCCCAGCTTATTTCTGGAACGGAGAAAGGCAATTTCATACCAAAAAAAAAAAAGGTAACCTATAAAAAGAGCTCATGACAGTCCCATAAAAAGACCAAATCCTGCAAGTGAGAATTTTAAAGCCCACTAAATGAATCTTTCCTGGATCCAAACAAATGCTACAAATGCCAGATTTTTAAGTTCTCAACTCACAGAATTAAAAGCCCTTCAACTGTTAACTGTCCTGTGTGACTCACCTATTCAGAAAATTTTCCCCTAGAAGCTGTGCAAAGTAACCGACGCACGCCTGCAGTGTAGGACAACATGGGGGATGTTCTCTTTTCATGAGGCAAAAGTCATTTTTTTAGAACTGAAAATGAAAGAGGTGCTATGGAGAGAAACAGTTTCGTAACAGTATAAAAGCAAAGACTGTCTGCAATCTGTAGCTTTGAAAGTAAAAATAATAAAATAACCACTCTGTACTGAACTCCTCCCACAGTGAACCATCTGCTCTACACATGGCGGTGAGGAATGACCCTGGCTGACCACAGGGGAAGCCTGCCGCCCCCACCAGGCCAGGCCCTGCCCGCCCCTGCTCCACCGTGCACAAGGTGGCGCCGCCTACTGCAAGGCAGTTGGAGAGACGGGGAGCTTCTCTCACTACCTGCTAACTCAACAGGAGTGAGTTCACTTGACTGAGCTCTGGCCTCCAACGTTTCTGTGCATAATTTTATGAAGAATCTAAATGCCATTCACTAGATCAAAAAGAAAAAAATAGAAAACTCTGGACCAAGTAAATTTTGAACTCAAAAAGTTAGGAGGTACACCAATTACATTAACAACACTTTCTTTAAAAAATAGAATCACTTTCTTTTGAAATCAACCACAGTGGTGAGACGTGTTTTTCTTTTCAGGCGCCCCATGATGGCACACAGCTGTACCCAGCAAATCCTGCCAGCTTCCGAGTCCCGGGATGCTGCCCTGCACCAGCACGTGGGGCAGCGTTACCTCCCGACAGTGTGGAGAAGAGCACATGTCACCACTGGGCGATGGGAGAGCTGACAGAGACTCGTGGCTTCTCAACGCCAGACACGGTTGAAGAGCTTTCCTTGTTCTATTAGAAAAGTTCATGAGGAAGCTGTGAATAGGATCAGTCCAGAGAAGTAAAACTCTTTTATTTTCACTGTCCAAACATCAGTCAATGTACTGGGAAAGCCAGCGGAAGCCCTCGCCGTAGCCTTGCCTCTTGAGCACACTGCACATGAACACTTCCATAGGGCGGGCATTCAGCTCCTTCAGGGTCACATTCCCCTAAGGGAGGCAAAACCAAGAAAGGCCTGTTAGCATCCCCATGGTGGAAAAGCTTGAAAGGGTGATCACAAATCACTCTCTTCATTCCTCAAAAGCAAATGGAAGTAGGAATTAATTATAGAAATGTGGTCAAGGCCATACAGATAACTTCCCCAGAGCCTCATGCTTTCAGCACAGTTCTATTCCCACTCTTTGTAAAGAGCCTTTACTTTTAACACACCAGCATCTGGAAAGTTATGACAGCTAACCAAGAAAAAGGCCACTAGGACCCCAGAACCAGCATGCTCTTTGATGGAGAGAAGTCCAAGACTCTTTTGAAATGACATTCTTGGGGCACCTGGGTGGCTCAGTCAGTTAAGCGTCGAACTCTTGGTTTTGGCTCAGGTCATGATCTCAGGGTCATGAGACTGAGCCCCATATAAGGCTCCTCACTCAGTGGGGAGTTGGCTCAAGATTCTCTCTCCCTCCGCCCCTCCCCCCACCACACATGCCCGCTCTTTCTCTCAAATAAATCTTAAAAAAAAAAGGGGGGGGGCGCCTGGGTGACTCAGTGGATTAAGCATCTGCCTTCGGCTCAGGCCACGATCTCAGCGTATTGGGATTGAGCACCGAGTGGGACTCCCGTGCTCAGCAGGGAATCAGCTTCTCCCTCTCCCTCTGACCCTCCCCTTGCTCATGCTCTCTCTCTGCATGCTCTCTCTCAAATAAATAAACTCTTAAAGAAAAAAAAAAAAAAGGACATTTTCATTAGCACCAGCATTCAGAAATCTACACTAATAACAAATTATATCAAGGAAATTAAGAATTCATGTTGTATAACACTCACGCAGAAGAGGGGAAACTAAATTAAAGCAAATGTTTCTACAAAGAAATAGATAATCAAGAAGAGGTAACACTAAGAAATAAGAAACCATATTAAAAAAAGTCAGAAGGTTATCAGAGACCCCAGAAAAGGTAAGTTTTTAAAACTGACTATGCCAAAACTCCAAGCTGAAAAAAACAGAATTCCTGCTTAACTACAGTTGATCTCTATTTTTTCTCTCATAAGCACTTCTGCAACAGAGTTCTCCTTCCAACTGGAGACAGCATATAACCTACTGATCTGGGAGACTCAGGTTCTATTCCTGGTTTTATCACTGACTTGGCTGTGTAGATCTGAACAAATAACGCTCAGATTTTCCTCATCTTCAAAATGGGGATCACAGCCCTACCTCTCTCAGCAAAGAACACTGAGGATAATCCAATGCTTGGGTTTCAGTGCTTGGAAAGTGATCATGAATGATCACTCGTCTTCATAACCTGAAATCTCCAGGCAAAAACAAAACTGATTTCTGGTTAAGAAGGCCTCCTTCAAAAAAGATTTCTCTGAATTAGAATCAAAAGAGAGTCAGATTCTTAATTCTCAATTCTTAAATCGGTAAGTTTGCCTTTCCTACCAATTTCTTCATCCTCATATACCTGAGGAAAATTTCATCAGGAAACAGTGAAAGAATAGGCTCCTGCCTTCTGAATGACTACAAATCACCTATGGTAAAACCAATCCTAGGCCCAGTTAAACTTTTGAAAGACAAGTAAAATCTAGATAGCAAAATATGAATGTCTCAACAGCTGTGAATTTCCTTAATATGTCCCCTGATGATTTTTCTCTTACCTTTCCTGTGGTCTGTCCATAAAGCCCAAATATCTCACGGAGTTTTTCTTCACTGATCGCATCTGTTCTGTCAATCTTGTTACCCAAGATAAGGATTGGCACATTGGATATTGTTTCATCAGTCATTAGAGCCTAAAGACAACATAAAAGAAGAGCTAGGTGAGGAATCTATGAATGCCCACCAGATCATGAAAACCACCTGGACTTTCACTTGTCTACAAAGTAACAAATGTAAAGAGAAAATCTGATCATCTTTATACCTGAGTGATGAAGTAAAAATCTTCACATTATACAACACTCTTAATATTAGGTAAGAAGCTCCTCAAAATTACCTTGACATTAGGTAAAAATCCCCTAACAGCCTCAAAACAATTGCAACTTAAGGCTGTGTCTATTTACAAGGCAGCAGAACTGCCCCAACCTTAACTGTGAGATAAATCACTCAGCCACAGACCATCCTCAGGCTATCCACTGAGCACAGTCCTAGAAGACTGAATGCTCTGGCTACAGAGCCTCAAAGATGGCGACAGGAAGTCCCTGCATATACAATGAGTGCCCAGTGTGTGCAAAGCACTATCTCAGGCACTGAGAGGGATACAAAGAGAGGTTAAGACATATCCCTGGCCTCGAGAAATCCTCACTCTATGTTCATACACATCTGTCAACAAAGCAAGGCAAGTGTATGATTGTCACGATGAATAGGGACAGAATATAAATACTAAAAGACATTCAGGGAAATCAAATGGCAGGGAAAATGGTGGACTTAAGGAAAGTCTTAACAAAGTTGAGGAACCCAAACTAAGCTCTGAAAGAAGGGCAGGTTTTGGACAGGTGGACAGAAGGAAGAATATAAGCAATGCTTTACAGTAAGAAAAGAATTCAGAAAGCCACATGGAGAATTGCCTGTCTTTATATGTTGACATACAGTAAAATAGAATGGGAAGGCATGATCAACATTATGATGCCTGTCTGAGAAGTTAGCTGCAATAGATCCTAAAGACCCCAAATCCAGAAAGTACTGAATAGAATCTGTGTGTAAAGGGCCGCCTGGGTGGCTCAGTCGAAGCGTCTGCTTTCGGCTCAGGTCATGATCTCAGGGTCCTGGGACAGAGCCCCATGTCAGGCTCCCTGCTCAGCGGGGAGTCTGCTTCTCCTTCTGCCCCTCCCACCCCCACTCTCAAATAAATAAAATCTTAAAAAAGAATCTGTGTAAAAAAACACATTGAATTCACACATAGTCTCTATGTGTGCTCGGATAAGAGACAATGACCTAGCCTAAGATGGCAGCATCCAAGGAATAGTGTAGCAGGCACTGTGGAGAAAGAAGTGAAGGGAGACTGATGTCTAGATGGTAAGACAGGTAAGAGGGGCCTGAGCTGGCACAGATTTCAAGCCTGGAAATCCAGTGCCCACTGACAGGAAAAGCTTGGAAAGAGGAGTAGAGCTGAAGGGATAAAGGGGAACATACTTTTGACCATCTTAGGTTCCAGGAAATGTTAGATAAAATCAGAGTAAGGATGTCATTCATTGATTAAATACTAACCAGATGCCTACTGTATGTCTGATGCTTTGCTAAGTGCAAGGGTTTCAAAAAGAAACAAAAGTAGGTCCCTTCTAAGTTCACAATCTGATGAAGAGACCTACAAGAAAACCAGTGAAGACCACAGACATTGATAAGGTGGCGAGTCTAAGTCCAAGAGGTCAGGGAAAGCTTCCTAAAAGAGGTCATGGCTGAACTCCGGGATCTCTGAAAGGACATTTTTTAATTTACCAGCAAAAGTGGGTGGGGGTCCGATGAGAAAGCCAGGCAGGGACAGCCACTTGTGCATACTGAAGGAAGGACAAGTTGTTCTCTATTGTTTGGAATGTAGTTCAAGGTACGCAATAAAGAGAAGAGAAGCTGGAAAAATAAACAGGAAAGATCAGGGAAGACTTTATGCAAAGTCTTTGCTATGCAAAGGATTTGTGGATTTTATCCAGAAGGTGATAGAGATCTATTAAAGGATATTAAATAGGCCAATGATAAGTCTGAAAAGTTCCTTCTAGCATTATAGAATGTGGCAGGGTGGGAGTGAAATCTACAGTCATTCACAGGATCTGGACCACATGTCCAGGTAGATGGTGGGGAATAGTTCCATTCTGGGAGACTGGAATTGGTAGGTGGAGTTCTTTAGTAGATAGTACTATGTACGAGGCTGGAGCTCAAGAGAGGTTTAAACAAGAGAAATCCATATGGGAGTCACTGGCATGTGGGTGGCAGATGAAGGAATGAGAGTAGCCTGGACTAGCCTAGCATACAGTACAGACCCTAGGGAACACCAAGATTTAAGCAGGGGAATGGGTGCTTGTGAAAGAATCTGAGAAGTATTAGCCAGAGAGAGTATACCAAACCCAAGAATGCAAATGGGAATTCAACGAAAAGAGAGAAGGCCAATGCCAAGAGGTCAAGTAAGGGAAGGAATGCCCTATACGCGATTCTACATGAGACCAGAGCTATAGATTCAAGAAACATACTCACAAACTCACAAATAACGTGGCACAGGTTCACATCGCCAGGAACAAGAATGCACAGAGACCGTCACAAATCAAATAAAAAGACGAGGTGCAGGGTGACCCAGTAAGGATTAACAAAGGCAACATGACAAGAACTGTGAAGCCAAGAAAATGCAATGTTGAGAAAGGAGAAAACCTGACAGTATCAAATGCTGCCTGTGACCCGAACTGAAGACGGAGAACAGACTGCTAACTAAGGTCTACGAAGTCATTCAGTGCGAGCGTGGGCAGGCACAGAGTGAGAACCCAGATTCAAACGCATAAAGAACCCTTAATCTCGCTCTTAAGGTTTCACTCTCCCAATGCTTCAAAAAACAGGGACCATCCATGATATGTGAAGGAAAAAGGCATTCACTCTGCTGGGGCAACAGGCACACACGGGGGAGTGTGGGAGCAAACTGGACAGTCACCCTATGATAGATATAAACAAAGTTCGTTTTCTGGAGTTCAAGCTGAGTTTCCTCAGGACACTGAAAAGCAAGAGCTTAGATTTTAAAACACTTTCTTACTGTAACTAGGACTTTCATCAAATGGTAACTGGAATGCTGAAGTATTAGCGCTACTGACCTGTATTCCTTAAAAGAAACAGAGACCAAGAAAAGAAAAAATATAATCGTACATTTAGCTCAACTTTGGATTCCATGAGGCGAGGATGATCTGCACAGTCGACCAGAAAGACAATCCCATTAATTGCTGGGAGGTAATTTTTCCAAACCCGACGTGCTAAAAGACAAAGTTTGTAGTTGCATTAATCAAAAAATAATAATACATATTTTGAAAAATGTATCTATTTTTTTTTTTTGCCCTAAAATGGGCAAACCTTGGCTAGTTTTCAATAGCATTCAATTCCATATAGATTCCCCAAGTCCTAACCATTATTAAATCAGAACAAAGGTATACACTAATGGTGTATGAACTGAATCTGATTTTTTCAATTTAAAAAATCAAGGTTTTCTGCCTGATTTTCGGAAAAAATGCAACATCTGGCAATCCCACACATACCTACCTACATGTCACTAATCAGCTGGAACTGAGTGGCAGCTACCCCTTTAGAGGAAGTCTGGGCTCTTCCATTTGGCAAAGTTTCCACCACTCCCTACTGTCTGACACTCAGTCACTCCTACTCAGTTAAATGACCTACCTCACCCCTAAAGCCAAATTCATCAAGATGCAAATTACCTGTCCACAAACCATTAGTTCCAAGTCAGTTCCTAACTAACCAATGTGTACGTGTACTGACACACCCGCTCCGTCCATCCTCAGGAGATTGGGCCTGACAGATGGTTGAAGTTGCCAGGCAATTACCTCAGTCCCCCATATTTAACCCAGGAGGCCTTATAAATTTTATTTATTTTTTTGTTTATGCCATGAAGTGATAATGGTTTGGGAAGCAATACTTTAATTGTATTATAATTTCTAAGCCATTCATTTCTACTTCTTCCCAGTTACTTTCACTGGGATGAATAACAAAGCATCTCTACATCAAACAGTTAATAATGGTTACCTCTAAAGAATGGGATGGGGAAGGAGAGGCTGGGGGAACTTCCACCTTTTACCTTCCATATTCATATGCTGAGTGTGTATTCAATTTGTTACATGGAGCCTGAACTACCTTTTTTTAAGTTATCTCTACACCCAACGTGGGGCTCGAACTCACGACCCTGAGATCAAGAGTTGCATGCGGGCGCCTGGGTGGCTCAGTTGGTTAAGCGACTGCCTTCGGCTCAGGTCATGATCCTGGAGTCCCGGGATCGAGTCCCACATTGGGCTCCCTGCTCAGCAGGGAGTCTGCTTCTCCCTCTGACCCTCCTCTGTCTCGTGCTCTCTCTCATTCTCTCTCTCGCAAATAAAAAATAAAAAAAAAAACGTTGCATGCTTTGCTGACTGAACCAGCCAGGCACCATGAGCCTGGCCTACTTTTATAAGTTAAAATTTTTAAGTTTTTTTTAAAAAAAAGGAAATCTCCAAATATATAGCATTTTAGTAATTTCTGTAAAATGGTGGCTAAGTTATTACGATAAAGTAATTCTGTTAAATAAATTTTCCTCAAACAAAACTACATGTAACATATTCCCCCCCTTCTTAATCTATCAAAACCTGAAAGCTAAATTTATCACACCAAATAATACATTAAGTCTCAGTTCAGAGGTCTAAAAACATCTTTCCTGCTGCATTCGCCAAATGGTCTCAGTTCAGTTCTTACAATTGTATTATCTCTGAATTTAAATTTGTAAACAGTTACAAATCCTTTTTTTTTTAATTTTTTTTTACAAATCCTTTTGAAAGAAGCAGAAAAGCCACCATACACCCATTCCTACCCAAATGAAAACAATACAAGCTCATTATAGAAAAAAAAAGATACAAGATCATCTATAATCCTCCACAGAAACAAACCTACTGCTAATGTTTTCCTATATATTCATTCAATCTTTTTTCTATACAGGTATTTTATGTGATTGTGATCATACTACATATGATTTTGTGGGATATAAATATTAAGAGACTAAAATAAATGTAATTATATATTAATGAAATCACTGACTATAAAATCATTTGGATCACTCCTTAGATTTTTGGTTAAACTTACTTGGCTAAAAAATTAAAATTACCAATATTCTGTTCTTTTAACTATGCTTTTAAAAAGCTGTATTAGATTCAACCTAATATAATGAATGCTCCAAAAGGAGACTTCTCAACTCAATTTAATAACAAATGAATAAATTTCATAAAATTTCAATAATTTCTTTTTCCTACTTTGCAGAATATTTATTTTCACATCTTAAAGGTTTTACTCCTAAGCCTCAAGTCTTGCCAAATGTGAAGTAAGTGTCCATCAGAAAAAGATGCCCCATTCTATGTATCTCCAAAACCCACACAAGATACCTGATAGGAATCTAGAAACCAAATGGACATGGCCTGCATTCGGCAAAAGGTACTACAAGAACAATAAGGGAGAAGGAAATGTTCTACCAACCGCTCCATATGGATAGAGTATACAAAATAGATCAGAGTGGTCACAAGTATATCACTGTATTATTTTTGCAACTTTTGACAAATTTGAACTTACTTACAAATAATAATGATTTTCTACATACTTACACTCCATTGACTAAGGGATATAAAAGAGACATGATTAAATTTGATATTGTACTAGACCTTGTTCAAGAGGAAAAATGCTATAAAGGAGATTATGGAGACAACTGACAAAAAGAGAAATATACACTACAGAGTAGATAAAAATAAAACTTCCTAGGTTTGATAACTTAGTATGTCTTACATAGAGACTAATAAATTGGGGCAAAAGGTATAAAGGAGTGGAGTTCTCTGTATTTATGCAACTTTTGACAAGTTTTACTTAACAATTTTAAGTGATAAGATCTCAATCATAATTTAATCACCACTTAAAAGGTAAAAATGTCACAAGGCTTAAAAAAAATAAAGAGGGTATAAAAAGAACCATACGTCAATACCAGTCTTCCACTGAATCATCTCTTACCTTGCTCATGCCCACCAAGATCAAAAGTTGTAAATGTCATTCCAGCAATTGTAAGCTCTTCTGATGCTGAAAAATTGTCAAAACAGAAAAAAGACATAAACTCTTCCATCCAACAAGGCCCAGCTCCCAGTACTGTAAGCCAATACACACACAAAACTTAATGAAGCTTTTACCTTGGAAAGAAAAGGATACAAGGGTGAAAACATTTCTTAAATTATTCTAAGAAGCCAAGTTTCTTTTTCTCCGAAGTGTCTACTGCTTCTCAGAAGAAGACATGGGAAATGTGTCCCCTTACAGGACTAGTGAGAATAGAGTCCCAGAGGGTTAGATTTAGGGGTATATGACCTGAGTGTCCTACAGGAATTTTTCTCAAGTGAGTGGTCTTTTGAGACCTCAAGAAATGAATCAACTGGGGATTCATCCCCAAACCGTGACAATGACCTTCAAATATCAAAAGGTCACCTGGTATTTTCAAACCTACTCGGATGTAATGTTGGAACATGTTGGCCCAATCGGTCATCTTTGAGCATGTGTAGAAGAGTGGTTTTGCCTGCATTGTCCAAACCCAAAAATACAAGTTTTCCAGATTTCTTGTAGAGTCCTAAAAAAGAAAAAAAATTTAACGTAATTTTGCTTTCTACTTACCAAAGGCTGCTTGTATTTAGATTGTTGGAGGAAATGTACAAAGTCTGAAACCTATGATATATATCGAGGAAATGGCTTTACCTAGGAACTGGAGCACACTGCTGAAGCCATTGTAGATCCATTCAAAGATGAAAGACATTATTAATGCTTACTACCTGCAGAAAATATGAAAGCAGCAAACATTAGCTTTCTGAATGCTAGTACAGCTCTGGAGAAGTTAACCCTTATTCGGTAGCCCTGATGTTTATTGTCCCATGTTTTCAGGCGTAAGAAAATAAAGGGTTCTACACCCTGGAGGGAAGTCTCCGGGGTACTCAGATCTGCACAAACTCCCGATTTTCTATCAGTTTTCAATCTATGATACTCCAAGGACTAGAAATTAAAGATATACTTTCCTCTTTTACTGTGTAACTTTCTCCTCCAGGCAGCTGCTCATTCACATTCCCTAGATACATGGCTGCTGTCGATACCAGTTAGCAAAACCTCTACGAAATCAGTCCCATCAATAATCTAGATCAAAATGTCACATCGATACACTAAGCAGAAAATAAGAATGAAAAGCATATTAACCCCTCCTTGTAAACAGCTCTAAAAAACAGTCACCAAAATCCTAATGGCTGACATAATTTGCCCTGCCCCACTTACCAATGACTATTATTTTTTTAAAGATCTATTTATTTATTTGAGAAAGAAAGAGAGCTCACAGGAGGAGGGAAGGGCAGAGGGAGCGACAGAATCTCAAGCAGACTCCCCACTGAGCAGGGAGCCCCGAGCTCATGACCCGGAGCTGAACTAAGAGTCAGAAGCTTAATTGACTGTGCCACCCAAGCGCCCCACTAATGCTATGTTTCTTAACAATACTTATTTAACCCCTCTTGCAGATTTGTGTGTTGACTTATAAAAAGAAATGATATCACTATTATGGAGAACCATGAAGAAATAAGAGAATCTTTTCATAATGTGAGTAACCAAGACCTAACCCATTTTACAAATAGGGATTTTCTTAAAATAAGAATACTTGTTCAGGGCATAGAAGTAGGTTCCTAGCCAAGTACACACACTAATTAGTACTAATATTAAGACCACTTTTCCTACTGTTTTCCATAAGCCTAGACAAAACAAAAGATGACCCAAAGCTACTGAAAGGTCTACATACACTGGTAATGAGCAAGAGGACTCTGAAAGGAGTTAAGAGGGTAAGATCTAAAGCCAGTGGTGGTGTCAAAGTTTCTCAGGTTCAGCATTTTCTGGTCACTGAACTTTTGCGTCAATATCTCAGATTTGGTGGGGAAAAAAAAAAAAGAAAGATCCCCCACTTTCACTCCTCTCCATCAGCAAGAGCATGTGAACACAAGGCTACACTAGATGTGACCAACTGCTATCAAATACAACTTCCATGAACTTTTGTTTTAAAAAGTAAACAAAAGTTTACTTTTGTTACTTTTACTAGTGACCTTAACAGGGTTATCCACAAAAACCCACCTATATTCTTTACTCAAAGAATGCTAGATAAAGAAGTTGAAAAGTTGAGGCAATACATGTTAATTTGAGGGCTCCTGGCTGGCTCAGTCAGAGGAACCTGTGACTCTTGATCTTAGGATCGTGATTTTTGAGCCCCACATTAAGGGTAGAGACTACTTAAATAAGTAACTAAATAAACTGAAACATATATATATATATAATATTTTTTCTACCCAGTGACAGAGTTTTGTTTTTTTAAGGATTTTATTTATTTATTTATTTATTTATTTATTTGAGAGAGAGGGAGAGAGAGCACAGAGGAAGAGGGAGAGGGAGAAGCAGACTCCCTCCTGAGCAGAGAGCCTGATGTGGGGCTTGATCCCAAGACCCTGATCATGACCCGAGCTGAAGGCAGATGCTCAAATCGACTGAACCACCCAGGCACCCTGAATTTTTTTTTTTTTTAAATCAGGCCTGGGCGGCTGGGTTGCTCAGTCGGTTAAGCGTCTGACTTTGGCTCAGGTCGTGACTCCAGGGTCCTGGGATTGAGTCCTGAGAGTCCTGCATTGGACTCCCTGCTGCCCCTCCCCCCTGCTTGTGGGCATGTATGCTCTCTCTCTCTCAATTAAATAAATAACATCTTTAAAAAAAAATAAGGCCTTACCTATAAACCTTAGGGACTGCCTAATGCTTATTTTCTATGGCTCTTAACATGGAAGGCCAAATGAGGCTTGGGAGTTTGGGTGAAAGTAGAGGCTAAGGCAAAAGCTTTTATAAAAAAAATACTAACTATGGGGGGGTTTTTTGCCCTTTTCAGTAATATTAAAATATATTTTGGCAGGGGCACCCAGGTGGCTCAGTCGGTTAAGCGTCTGCCTTCGGCTTGGGTCATAATCCTGGGGTCCTGGGATGGAGCCCCCCATCGGGGTCCCTGCTCAGCAGTGAGTCTGTTTCTCCCTCTCCCTCTGCCACTCCCCCTGCTTTGTACTCTCTCTCTCTCTCAAATAAATAAATAAAATCTTAATATATATTTTGGAAGAGACCAAATTTAGCATGTTAAATAATTTGGTAACTTAGTCGGGACTTTAAGAAGTTTAATGACTTAAAGACACTTACAAAGCTCCTGTTTTTAGGTTTCCTCTGTAGATAAGTAAAAGAACAATGTGCCTCTTCTCTGCAATTCCCCCAAACCAGTCATCTTTCCCTACTTTTCTCAGCCTACAACTTGGAGAAGTGAGGCTCACCTTTACAGAGAACCTCTCTTTAAGATCACTCCTACTCTGATCACTCCTTTAAAACCCACCGTTACATATTCATTTGTACTACACAGGGTTACAGTCAATACTTTATTATAGACTCTTTGTGGAGTTTTACCACATCGTTTTAGAATTCTTCCAAACTCAATGAATTCTCCAAAGGTGACAATGGGAAAACCCCCCTTTAAGGAATTTCTCATGGTAACTGAATTAGTTTGATTTTTCCAATTTATCTCCCCCTGACATTCTTGCTTTAAAAGTCCCTCCAAAATGATCTATGGAAAAGTGCCTGAAGAAACTCTTCAGGTGATGTTAAAAAAAATAATAAAAACCATTACGGACCCAAAGTGTTGCACTGTATTGCTACCCAAAGTTAAGGAAATGGCTTCGGTGGATCCTCCATCCTTAAGATCTTAGGATTTGTACCCCTCATGAGTAGTTTTACAGTTTTATACAATGCCTGCACATACATCTCATTTCAACCTCACACAAACCCTACTGGGCAGGAGTCCTTAGTTTTCAACAAGGAAAGGATGCTGACACTCCTAGGTCAGCTGCCTTAACCAAAACTGCTCAGCTAAAAAAGTGTCAGTGCCAAAACTGAAACCTTCCTTTTTAAATGCCGAAGCCAAAGCTCTTCCTGTTAATATTACATAAAATTCAAATCCAAATCACAAAACTGCTTTTAAAGAAACATAAAACTTCCTTAACCCACCAGCTAAACAGATGATAATCTTCTAAAGTTTTCTTCCTTACAACTTATCATGTCTTCTGAGTGGTATTTTAATAACTAGCATTCTATTTATTTCCTATCCTTGATCCACTCTACCACCTTATGGCATCTTGTGGCAAATTAGCGTACCCTAAAATTTAAGAACTCTAAACTACCACAAAAGCACTGCCAATGTACCCCAAACTAAAATTTGCAATGACATCAGAATGAAGTAAATAAAAAAGAGGAGCACTAGCCAATACTGACCATTAGCCAGTAATATATGCATTACTCTCTCTACATACTCATTATTTCTTACGCATACTCATTACAACTTTGAGACACCATTCCTGGGACACATCTGGGATAGCAGGCTGCTGGTTTTTAGCTAAGAAACTATGCTTAGCTGCAGGGTAAATATCAAAGGTCAAGCAAGCCCCCAGGCAGAGCACCACAGTTACCCTGTCACGACCTAAGCAGAAAGATCGAGGTAAAGGAGAAAAGACAAGAGCAAGGGAGATACTAAGAGAGACAATTTATAGTGCCAACCCTCACAAGTGCACTCCTGACCTCTAGGCTAGAATCATGAAGAAAACACTAATCTATACCAAATGCACACGAAGGAATTTTTCCACGCACTGAAGAGAGGGGAGGAAAAGAAGGTGGAAAAGAAAATACGGGGTTCGACTCAGGGCATCTGACGATAACACAGAGCTGAAAGTCAGGGAGGGGGGTCCGCACTGGACTGGGAGTCAAAGGATCCGGTTCGAACATTCCTCTTGCTATCTGCCGGGCCTTGGCCAATTCACTGCCTCGCGAGCCTTATTATTCCCCAGGATGCAAACTAAGGATAGTCATCAAGGACTCCCACCCGCCCAACGGCTGTGAGGCTCATCCGAGACGGGATGTGAAACCGTTCCGCAAACCTGAGCGCACAGTACAGACAAGAAAACTGTTATCCCGCCCAGCAGCTGCGGGACCCCCGAAGGAATGCAGATCGACCCGATACCCCAAGGGCTGTCAGGGAACGGAGCAGACCGGCCAAGTCGGCCCGTCCCCACCCAGAACCAGCCCCGAGGCCCCACAGAACCGCCTGCGTGTCACTTCCCCCCCCCACACACACACAGCAACCTCGCCTGAGCCGGCCTCCGCCCCGACCCTCCCCGCCGTCCGCCCCAGCCCCACCGGCCCCTCGGCTCCTTCCTTCGCAGCAGCTCCCCGACTCACGGCCAAGGGTCCTCCTCCGGCGGCGGCTGGCGGTTTCGACCCTCCCTCACAGCACACAGCCCAGCAGCACCCGGGACCGCCAGCTATTCGCCGGATATGCGTAACACCCCCTCCCCCGGGACTTCCGGGCGCGCGCTTGCCCCCGCCCCCTCGCAGCGTCACGGCGCTCTGAAACGCCGGGGCCGCCTACCGACGACTCGGGCCGCGGAGGGGTGGGCCTCAGGCGCGCAGAGCGATCCCGGGGGCGGGCCAGACTTGGCTCCGCCCCCTCCCGTACGGAGAGCACGACGCGCGAGACGTGGCAGCGCCGCGGCTCCGGGGGCAGGGCAGGAGCCTGGAAGTTTCGCAGTGCACCTGGACGCTCGGGATCGCCGCTTCTAGTCCGACTGCCGTCGCAGACGAGCTGGCAAAATCCGGAGCGGCGACAGGTGGCTAGGTAGGTCCTCGGACAGAAGAGTTGCCCCAACAGCCCTCCACCTAGGGTGGATCCCGGAAAGCCTTTGCTTCCAGTCACAGTTCGCTGGGATAGCCTATGTTTTGGAAGAACAGCTAATATTCATTGAGCACTTACGTTCCAGGCAGTGCAGAGTATTTTGCATGCATGCCTCCCCGTATTTGGCCTTGATTACAGCCCTTATGAAGCGGATACTGTTATTTTCCCCGTTTTGCAAATGAGAGAACCAAGGTTCAGAATAGCCCAAGCTCACAGGCTAGGAAGTGGCAGAGCAGCACGTTGGCTCCTACTCTGCCGTCCTTCCCAAGCATTTTCTCATTTAATTCTGAAGACAGCCCTACGAGATTGGTATTATTACTCTTAGTTTACAGATAGGAAAACTAAGTCAAGTGATAAGATGAATGATGTTTTTGGATAGTAAGACCCAATATCATAAACATTTCAGTTCTCCTTAAGTACAATTATAAATTTAACATAATTCCCATAAAAAAAAACTAATAGGATTAATAGGTTTTGTGTGTGTGTTTTAAACTACCCTGTTTGGGGGCGCCTGGGTCGCTCAGTCGTTGGGCGTCTGCCTTCGGCTCAGGTCATGATCCCAGCGTCCTGGGATGGAGGTCCTGGGATGGAGCCCCACATCGGGGCTCCCTGCTCAGCGGGGAGTCTGCTTGTCCCTCTGTCCCTCCCCCCTGCTCGTTCACTCTCTCTCTCTCATAAATAAATAAAATCTTTTTTTTTTAAGATTTTATTTATTTATTTGACAGAGAGAGCGAACACAAGCAGGGGGAGAAGCAGGCTTCCCGCCGAGCAGGGAACCCGATGCGGGGCTCCATGCGGGGCTCCATGCGGCGCTCGATCCCAGGACCCTGGGATCATGACCTGAGCCGAAGGCAGATGCTTATAACAGCTGAGCCACCCAGGCACCCCTAAATAAAGTCTTTAAAGAAAGCACTTTGGTACTAGTGCATGAAAAGCCAAACAAACCAATTAGAACGAAATACAGAAATAGACCCAAATATGTGCAGAAATAAGATTTAAGTGACATCTGGCAACTGCAGTAATACTCAGAGGGAGCTGGATGGACAAGCTCACTACTTTCCCCCCTCTTTTAATCCTGTGAGTCTTCTGCATTGAGTTTGAATCTTGTCCAGACACAGAAAGCCATGGTCTGACGCTCCTCCCCAGCTCTGGGTAAACCAGGAGAACTGTGTCCATAGGGCTTGGACCCCCCAGTGTGTGTACCCTGGAGGCATGGGGCTGCCCTAGCAAAAGCTGTTGCATTGGATTACTGGCCCTGTTAGAAGGCTGGCTGCAAGAGGTCGGGGTGGGGAGTCCCAAACCACAAGGATGGCTTGGGGGGCTCAGGAGGAAGGACGGAGCACATAGGAAAATTATCAGGAGAGCTGCAAACTCTCCTTACCAAGTGGGCAGCCTTGAGCAAGTTGACAGATGCCCCAGGCCACAGGGTACCCAACTCAAAAATGAGTGAAAGAAGGATGTTGTACATGTAAGCAATTTTTCCAGAGTATGTTTTCAATAAATGTTTCAATTATATGTTTAAAAATAAATACTAAAAGGGTTGAGACAATAGGTAGTCAAAAACAAAACAAAACGAAAACCTAGGGGCGCCTGGGTGGCTCAGTCAGTTAAGCATCCAACTCTTGATCTCAGCTCAGGTCTTAATCTCAGGGTCATGAGTTCAAGCCTCACGTTGGGCTCCATGCTGGGCATGGAGCCTACTTAAAAACAAACAAACAAAAATATTGCCTAAACACTTAAGCAAAACATTTAGTTGTATTTGACTGGAAGACTGTTTGAGCCCAGCCTTGCTTTCAAACATAACCATGTGTTTTCTTTTCGGGGTTTTCTATATTGATGTGTCTGGTTGTTTTGGTTTTTTTGTTTGTTTGTTTTTTGTCTGTTATGTCTTCATCAAAATAAGAAAGTAAACCTGTAATTCCTAACTGAAAAAAGAAAAGATTGACGCATTCAACTACAGAAAAATAGGAAAGTTTTATATGACTATAGGCTGACATAACAGTGATGACACCATAAACCCAAAAGACAGCAAGTTGGGAAAAAATATGCATAATCACATCACAAGTGAAAGGTTAGTATGAAAAATACTAACTTGTTAGAAAGATAGGCAAGGAGGGGCACCTTGGCGGCTCTGTCGGTTGAGCGTTTGACTCTTGGTTTGGGCTCAGGTCATAATCTGGGGTCGCGGGATCAAGCCCTGCATCGGGCTCTGTACTTGGTTCGAGTCTGCTTGGAATTCTCCCTCTCTCCCTCTCCATCTGGCCCTCCCCCTGCTGACACACACTCTCTCTCTCCAAAATAAATAAATCTCAAAAAAATTTTTAGAAATATAGGCAAAGAATAGGACCAGACAATTCACAGGAAAGAAATATAAATGGGTCTTTTAGGATAATAAACCAAAAATAGAAACAGAGGAATTTTATGTAATTATCCCCACTCTGTTCTTACTCCCCTACACATGCTCAATACTATTAGGTAGACAGGACTCAGAAGCTAAAATAGAGATTGAAAGACATGTGTCAGTCATGGCTCTCCAGAGAAACAGAACCAGTAGTATATGTATATATACACACATACATATACATATATATATGGATATGTGTGTGTGTGTGTGTATACACACATAAATACATATATATGAGGAGATTTATTAGAGGACTTGGCTGACATGGTTATGGAAGCCAAGATATCCCAGATCTGCCATCTCAAGCTGGAGAACCAGGAAAGTTGGTGGTATGATTCAGTCCAAGCCTGAAGGCCTTGGAGTGAGAATTAGGGGGCTGCTGGTGTATGCCCTGGTGTCTGAAGTCCCTAGAACCAGGAGCTCTGATGTCTGAGGGTAGGAAAGGTGGATGACCCAGCTCAAGAAGAGAGAAAGAGAATTTGCCCTTCCTTTGCATTTTTGGCCGATTTGAATCCTCAAGGGATTGGGTGATGCCCACCCACACTGGTGAGGACAGATCTCTTTACTCAGTCTACTGAATCAAATGCTAATCTCTTCCAGAAACACTCTCACAGACACACCCAGAAATATTTTGCCACCTACCTGGGCATCCCTTAGTCCAGTCAAGTTGGTATGTAAAATAAACCATCCCAGCATCTATTGGAATTGTCAACGTGGAGATAACGCGTGAGCCTGATAAATGCAGTTTTGGGGAATGGGTGCTGGACTGGAATGACCTAATGAGAGACAAGGAGAGGAAGAAATGGGGCAATGACCCTGGACAATGCCATTAGAAATGTGGCTGTGAAGGAGAGGAGAGACCGGGGATCCAAAAAGGCATAGATGATGAAAATTAATATTCTTTTCTGCTCAGTGGTAAAAACTGGAATACCATCTGTGTCAATATTTAAACGTTGGTTCAAATCTTGAGAAAATAAACATTTGACCTTTGTCATCTGGAGGATTTCATATAATGTTGATTAGAAAAATCATCCTGAAAAGCAGTCTATTTTATTTTATTTTATTTTATTTTATTTTTTTATTTTTTTATTTTTTTAGAGTGGGAAAGAGGAGGGGCAGAGGGAGAGAGAGAATATTAAGTGGGCTCAGAGCAGAGCCTGGATGCAGGGCTCAATCTCAGACCCTGAGATCATGACCTGAGCTGAAATCAAGAGTCAGACACTTCACTGACTAAGCCAAACAGGCACCCCAAAAAGCAATCTATTTTAAAATTTGAGGAGATGAAGTGTTAAAATTTCCAAATGTTTCCCCTTTGACATCATCTAGAGGCAATTAGAAAAACATTTACTTCTTAAAATAACTGTATGTTCCCCAGTTTACAAAGGAGTGGGAAAGGGCATTTAACTTGAAGTCCTTTCCTGAAATATGTTTTTATAAATTACTGTATATCTAGGTTCTAATTGACTTGGTCATTATAGTTACACAAACATAAGTTTTACCTTAGATTTCCCCCTGGCCAGGGAATCCTTCCAAAACTGAATGGGTTTTGGAGTCAGAAAAATCACTAAAAGAGAACTATTTTTTTCTATTGTATTTTTATTCCAAATAAACTCCATGTCCTTCTGAATGGTATATTACTTTCTTCATCCCTTGTTATATCCTTGTAAGAGTTGAGGAACCTGATAAGCAAAAATGCCCCTTCCCTTACTCTTTCGAAGATGACTCAGGGAAAAAAAGGCAAATCAGAGCTCCCTGGTTCTTCAGTGAAATTATCTTCAACTCCCCAAAAAACTAGATCAAGGCATATACACTGTGATGGAGATTTTCAAGCCTTTTTTGTCCTGTTTGTATTAAGAATAATGCCTTATCTTTGTACCAGTGATTTTACATAATATCATTTCATTCCAATCAAATATAGCACTCTCAAAAAGAAAACAAAAATGGGCAAAGGGCTTGAACAGATCTGTAAATGGCCAAGAAACATGAAAAGATGCCCAACATCGTTAATCATCAGATAAATGCAAATCAAACTGACATAAGATACCATCTCACCCATTAGGATGGCTAGACTGAAAAACAAAACAGAGGGGCGCCTGGGTGGCTCAGTTGGTTAAGCGGCTGCCTTTGGCTCAGGTCATGATCCCAGGGTCCTGGGATTGAGCCCCGCGTCGGGCTCCCTGCTCGGTGGAGAGTCTGCTTCTCTCTCTCCCTCTGCCTGCCTCTCTGCCTACTTGTGCTCTCTCTCTATCTCTCTGTCAAATAAATGAAATCTTTGGGAAAAAAAATTAAAAACAAAAAAACAAAACAGAAACAGAAAATAAGTGTTGGCAAGGAGGTGGAGATATCGGAACCCTTGGGCACTGCTGGTGGGATGCAAAATGGTGCGGCTACTGTAGAAAACAGCATGTGGGTAGCTCACGAAGTTGGAAATAGAATTACCAGGATGCCTGGGTGGGTCAGTCAGTTTAGCGTCTGCCTTCCACTCAGGTCATGATCTCAGGGTCCTGGGATCGAGTCCCACATCGGGCTCCTTGCTCCATGGGGAGCCTGCTTCTCCCTCTGCTTGCCGCTCCCCCTGCTTGTGCTCGCTCGCTCTCTCTCATAAATAAATAAATAAATAAAATCTTTTAAAAAAATAGAATTACTATCTGATCTAGCAATTCCATTTCTTTGGTATATATCCCAAAGAATTGAAAGCATGTCTCAAAGAGATTTTTGTACACCCATGTTCACAGGAGAATTATGAACAGTAGTCAAAAGGTGAAAGTAACCCAGGTGTCCATCAACAGATAAATGAATAAACAAAATGTGGTATGTACAAACAATGGATATTGTTCAGCCTTAAAAGGGAAGGAAATCTGGGGCGCCTGGGTGGCTCAGTTGGTTAAGCAACTGCCTTCGGCTCAGGTCATGATCCTGGAGTCCCGGGATCGAGTCCCGCATCAGACTCCATGCTCAGCGGGGAGTCTGCTTCTCCCTCTGATCCTCCCCCTCTCATGCTCTCTGTCTCCCATTCTCTCTCTCAGATAAAATAAATTAAAAAAAAAAAAAAAAGGGAAGGAAATCAGACACATGCTACAACATGAATGAACCTTGAGGACATGCTAACTGAAATAAGCTAGTCACAAAAAGGTAAATACTATATGATTCCATTTATATATGAGGTACCTGGAGTAGTCATATTCATAGAGACAGAAAATAGAATGGTAGTTGCCAGGGGCTTGGGGGAGGGGGAATAGGGAGTTGTTTAATGATTACAAAGTTTAAGTTTTGCAAGATAAAAAAAAATTCTGGAGATGTTTTCCTTAACATTGTGAATGTACTTAACATTATTGAACTGTACGCTTAAAAAATGGTTAAGATGATAAGTTTCTAAGTGGTAAAATACGTGTATTTTACCACATTTAAAAAGGTGATTTTTTTTTTAAGTTTTATTTAACTAATGTCTACACCTAATGTGGGGCTCAGACTCAGACCCGAGATCAAGAGTCGCATGCTCCTCTGACTGAGACGACCAGGTGCCTCTAAAAAAATTTTTTTTTTTTTTAAAGATTTTATTTTTATTTATTTGACAGAGAGAGACACAGCGAGAGAGGGAACACAAACGGGGAGTGGGAGAGGGAGAAGCAGACTCCCTGCCGAACAGGGAGCCCGATGCGGGACTCGATCCAGGGACTCCAGGATCATGACCTGAGCCGAAGGCAGTCGCTTAACCAACTGAGCCACCCAGGCGTCCCTAAAAAAATTTTTTTTAATGCACATGTTTCATTTGGTGCCTCCAGCGTTTTCAGAATTTGCTTGTCATCCTTGTGCAGGGGCCATGCTAATCTTCTCTGTCTTCCGTTCCAATTTTAATGTATGTGCTGCCGAAGTGAGCACGGAACCTCCCGCATCTTCAGCTTTCTGTGCCTGGTCCGTTTGGGCATCTCCATTTTCTGCAGGGTTATTCCCATCCTCGCCAGGATTGGCTTTCCCTTTTTTCTCTTTGGGTCCCTTCTTTCCCTTCTTTGAAGGACGCTTTCCAGGTGTAGGTTCTGGCTTTGGAAGAGCAGGTTTAGAGTTGGAGGCATCAGGATGAACTCATGTTTAGCTTAATACACAGATGGCTGTACATGGAAATATTTATAGATATATGTATATACACAGGTTGGTATACACACATATATTTCCTTGCTCTGTCAACTGAGAGGACCTAGAAGCAACAGCAACTCAGTAGCAGTGAGCACACCTAGTACCCAGATCTTGGCTTCTAATACCATCATTCTCCAATAAAAGGAACCAAGGCTCCTTGGAGAAATGGCTGATTCTAGGGCTGGGGCAGGGAATACACAAAAATAAAATTAAAAGGCAACCTATGGAATGGGAGAAATATTTGCCAATCATATATCCGATAAGGGATTAAAATATATAAAGAACTCATACAACTCAATAGCAAAAAACCAATCTGATTAAAAAATGGGCAGTGGATCTGAACAGACATGATTCCAAAGAAGACATACAGATGGCCAACAGGTACAACATCACTAGTCGTCAGGGAAATGTAAAACCATAATGAGATTAGTAGAATGGATTTTATCCATTTTTAGATAGATATTATCAAAAAGACAAGAGATAACAAGCGTTGGTGAGGATGTGGAGAAAAGGGCACCCTTGTACACTGTTGGTGGGAATGAAAACAATATGGAGGTTCCTCAAAAAATAAAAAACAGAACTATCATATGATCCAGCTATTCCATTTCTGGTGTATCCAAAGAAGATAAAAACACAATCTTAAAGAGATATCTGCAATCCCATGTTCACTGCAGCATTATTCACAATAGCCAAGATATGGAAACCACCTAAGTGCCCATCAATTGTTGAATGGATAAAGAAGATGTGATATGAATACACAGTGAAATATTCGTCAGCCATGAGAAAGAAGGAAATCCTGCTACTTGTGACAACATGGATGAATTGGAGATATTATGCTGAGTGAAATAAACCAGAAAAAGATAAATACTGTATGATATCACTCATATATAGAATCCAAAAGAGCCAAACTTCTAGAAACAGAGTAGAGTGGTGGTTACCAGGGGCAGAGGGGTGGGGAAATAGGGAGATACTGGTCAAAGGGTACAAACTTCCAGTTATAAGATAAATACGTTCTGGGGATCTAAGGTAGAGCATGGTGATTATAGTTAATAACACTGTATTTTATACTTGAAAGTTGCTAAGAGAGTAGATCTTAAATGTTCTCACCACAAAAAAGAAATGGTGACCATGTGAGGTGACGTGATGGAGGTGTGAGCTGACGCAGCAATGGTGATCATTTTATACTGCATAAGTATATCTCATCAACATACTGTACACCTGAAACTTACAGTGTTATCTGTCCATGTTCTCTCAACCAAACTGGGAAAAGAAAAAGATTGAAAGAGAGAGAATAAAAGGGAGAGGAAGGGAGAAATACGTGATGGTATTTATGTATTTATGCTAAATGATTACTATTTATAGGGATGTATAAAAGAACATTTTTTGAAAATGGGCTCTGGAATCAGACTGCCTGGGTTTGAATCCCGGTTCCTCCACTTAACTCATTCTGTAACTTCGGATAACTTATGTAATCTTAATATGCCTAAAATGGATAATGATAGTGTCTACCTCATTATGGTGTCTCTGGTGGCTAGTACAGATCCTGGCATATAGGATGTGTCTGATGAAGTTTGTTCAATAACTGACAGAGTGGATGAACTAATGACTTTTAGGAAGATTAAATAAGATTATATAATTTTAGTTCGCTGGCACAATCCAAACATTGATTAAAAGTTTCAGCCTTAGGATCCCTTCCTTTGCACGGGCTGTTCCGTCTGTCTGGAACACCTTTCCATCTCTTCTGTGCCTTGTTGCTCAAGACCCAGGTCAAGCAAACTCCCCCTAGTCAGCCTTTTCCAGGTGGCCCCTTCTCGTATTGTCCCTCGACTTCTTTTCTACCATTAAAGCACCTCTGAGGTTGGTTTACACTGATTTTTGTTTTTTTCATGATGGCTTTATTGAGATGTAATTCACGTATAATAAAATTCACCCATTTGCAGTGTACAATTCAGTGATGTTCAGTATGTGCATAGAGTTGGGCAGTCATCACCCCAATTTTAGAATATTTTCACCATCCCCCGAAGAAACCCCATACCCATTAGCCCCACTCCCCCTCACTCCAGCCTCTGGCAAGCACTAGTGTACTTTCTGTCCCGATGGATTTTTCTATTCTAGACTTTCATGTAATGGACTCATACAAAACATGGCCTTTGTGTCTGGCTTCTCTGACTCAGCACCATGTTTTCTAGGTTCATCCAAGTTGTAGCATGTGCCCGTAGTTCGTTCCTTTTCGTGGCTGAATAATACCTACTTCGTGGTTATACCACATTTTACTTACCCACTCATCATTTGATGGACGTTTGGGGTATTTACACTTTTTGGCTATCATGAATAATGCTGCTATGAACATAGGTACAAATTTTGTATGGACACATCTCTCTTGGTATATGCCTAGGGGTGGAATCGCTAGGTGATCTGGTAACACTATGTTGAACTTCTTGAGAAACTGCCTGTTTTCCAAGGTGGCTGCGCCATTTTGCATTCCCACCAGCAGTGTATGAGGAGGTCCAATTTCTCCATGTCTACGATCATTTTTTTAGTGTACCACCGTACCAGGGAACTTCCTGATGGCACAGAGTGTGAAATTGTGGTTTTCTGTCACCCCAGCTCTCAGCCCAGTGCCAGTCACAGAGAGAAACTTTGTCCCCACCTCTTCCCTGCTGCACAGGACTATAGCAGAGTCATAAAGACAGGATATCTGCCATGTTAAAATAGATGCTCAAGGTAGGAGTGGACTACTTTATTACACAAAATGCGGACACTGAGAAGTAAAAAGATCTGCCCGATGTCACACAGAGCCAGAGCCACAACTCAGGACTCAGGACTGGCGGCACGGAGCTCTTTCCTACCGTGCTCCACGAACTGCCTCTGAATTTACTCCAACACCAGAGGAGAATCAACTTTGGCTCCAGGGATCTGGTGCCAAAGCCCTAGGATGGAAGCCACAGATAGCAAATTGCCCTGCAATAGCATGTTTCTCTTCAAAATGCCTGGAAAGCCCACATTCAAAAACCACAGCATGTCTGTGTCTTTGAACCTATGAGTAACCTTGTGATTATTCACCCTCCAGTACAATTGAAGCTGCACGTCCCTGCGCAGAGTCTGCGCTGTGGCTTTAGGGCCCCTGGGCACAGGCTGCGTCCCCGGGGGCTGCCGGAGCCTCCGTGTGGAAGGCCATGCGTCACTCCACGATGGTGCCCTCTCAGACCCTCTGTGGAAGCGGGCAGGCACCAGCTGCTGGCTATCAACTGGAGTTGTACAACGACGCCGTCATGTTTCTGTCTGCAAAGGCGTTCCGAGAAGCATCAGGGTGTTCCTGAACTCCCGCTATGGACTCAGTGCTGTGCTGAGTGACAAGGCATAAACGTGGCCTCTGCCTATGAGGAGCTGGCAGGCTGTTTAGGGATCCCAGCTCCGTGCTCGCCATGTATTTTAACGAGCTAGGAGGAGAGACAGGGATGCTAGGGAGGTAGACCTGAAGCAGGAATGCGGGACAGCAATGCCATTGGCCTCGACAGGGAGGGAGCAGAGGGGCAGGCCAGGGCAGGATGGCCCCAGGTGCACGGGGCCAGCAGTGAGGAGCCGCACGCCCCGCTGGAACATCCACACTACTGCTCTAAGGTGGAGGTGCGGGTATCAGCTGGAAGAGGCCTTCCGGGGCACTGAGGTCAAGCCCCTTATTTCCCAAGAATGGAAGTTGTGCATGGAAGGTGACCCAGCCCGTGAGTCTCTTGAGACCCCCTGACAAAGTGCAGCCAGTATTATGTGGCTTGCCAGGTGAAAGAGGAGACCAGCTTGGCACTGGGGAGAGCCATGGGGCTGGGATGGTGTCACATTCCCAGCTCTTGGCAAAGGGCTGGGCCCAAGGCGCTTAGAGGCCTCAGGCAGGTCACGTGGCCTCCCTAGTTCCATGTTGCGAGGGAATTAAATGTGATGAAGTATATAAAGCATATAGAACAGGGCCTGATACTTATTTCGTAAGTACTCACAAATGGGAGCTATTTTAAAAAAAATTTTTTAAAGTAATCTCTGCACCCAATGTGGGGCTCAAACTCACAACCCTGAGATCAAGACACATGCTCTATTGATTGAGCCAGCCAGGTGCCCCCCAGATGGGAGCAATTTTTGTTGCTACTGTTGCTGTTGTAATTGTTTGCTGATTATCGCACGCTGATTGTATTACAACTTGCCGAGAACTCTTTCGCTAATTTGGGAGATTTATGACTAGAGCAATGGTTTCAAACATCGAGGTATGTTAGAATTACCTGAGGGGAACTGGTTCAAAATTAGATTTCAGGGCCTAGCCCCTCCCAGTTCTAATTCAGTAGGAGATATATATATATATATATATATATAGGAGATACATATATATATGTGTGTGTGTGCGTATGTGTATATATATATGTATATATATATATAATAAATATAAAGTGTTGTCTGTATCTACCATGTTATCTATATATGTTATCTGTCATATATAATATGTATATTATATATATTGTATGTATTTACTTATTTTTTATAACTATCTCAGGTGATTCAGTGCTGGTGGCTCAAGGACCACAGGGAGAGAGGCTGCCTTGCGGACCCTGCTTCTTCCACGCTTATCTCTACGTTCCCACCCCCTGAGATAATCCTTGTTAACTGTGGTTGGTTTTGTTTGTTTCCAGAAATTGTCTATGCCCTTACAAGCATATCCTCTAATACATCTCTTTTCCCCCATGCTCACTTTGTGAAAAACACAAATAGGATCACAGGATAGAGCGGGGATTGGCAAATGTTTTCAGTAACATGTCGAACAGTAAATATTTTCGGCTTTGCTGGCCCTGTGGTCTCTGTCCCAACTACCAACTGCCCATTGTAGCTTGAAGGCAGCCACAACAATTCGCAAATGAATGGGCGCGGCTGTGCTCCAGGGCCGCTTCGGTTGCCAGCCGGGCAGCAGGCGGGATTTGGCCTGCCAGCCACAGTTGGCCGCTACAGAGTACAACTATCACTCGGATACTCGGAGTATCTTTTCCCTGTCAGCCCATGCAGTGACTTTATTCTTTAACTGCTACGTGGTACTGAGAACATATTTAGCCACTTCTCAACTGGACAATTAGATATTTTTCCAGGTTTTGCTGCACTAAACAAAGCTTCCATACCCTGTGCGCTCGGTTGACTATTCTTTTGTCAACTGGAATGAATTCTCAGAGCAGAATTGCTGACTCAAAGGGTAAGTGTGAGTTTAAAATTTTGACAGAGACGGCCAGATTGATATCAGGCTCCTTTTTAAATTCAGATTGCCACATAACCTTGTGATTTTCATTGCTTAATCTTACTTCTGGTGAATATTTTCTGTTAGTTTAAAGGTTTTGTAATAACGAAAGGAAAGATTCCAAAGACCGACAGAGGGAACAATGAACTATGTGGCAATGGACTCCAGTTGCCAAATTCTTTAATAAATACTTGCCTACCATGGAGCGATTTGCACAGCATTCTTGTCCATGTAGAAGCAAATTCCCTTCTGCCCAGACTCCCAGAAAGCAGTAGGGGCAGCTCTTTCTCAATGTAAAGAACATTCTGTGCAAAAGCACAATTTAAGCCCTTGCAGAGCAAATATGCGGATCAGATAGGACATAACTGCTTTACAGCTACAGCCCACGCACGCTTAGGCTCCACGATGGTAAAGATGGACTGGATTTCCAATGGGAGTTCTCCATCAGACCCTTTACACAGCTGGGCCAATGTTTCAGATTCTCTTACCTGGAAAAATGCACTGATCACACTCACTGTTGTTGAGATTACAATTATGAACAATCAGCCTCCATTGAGCCTCTGCTATGACCCTGGCACCGGGGAAGTCCTTCACCTACATTCCTTCCACCCTGTGAGGATGGCGTCATGACCATCTTACAGATGGAAAAACTAAAGCTCAAGTAGGTTAAGTAATTTAACCATGGTGATAGAGTCAGATTTGACTTCCAAGACCACGGGAAAAAATACAATCATTTACTGCATTGAAACGTAGCAAAAACCTTGATGACTGATCCTAACTATTGGACCAATTCTTAGGAAGTGCTGCACATTGTATAATCTTTCATTACAAAATCTATTTCTCATCCTGACAAATAAATCACCTTCAGAAATCACATACGACTGTGACTGAGGCAACGTTTAGAAATAGACTTACAAAGGGAGTAAGAAATATTCTAAAATCTGAATGCTGACATTTCTGATTCTGGTCCAGACAAGATGGCATAGACCCATTTTTGCCCGCTCTTCATGGCTAAGCACAGCTACAAACCCTGGAAATGGCAAGAGACAACCAAAGGAAAACTCTGAAAGGTGATCAAGAAGGCAAGCTGGTTTGGGACCAGGACCAGAGAGCAGAACAGTGGCAGGGGCATGTGTGTCCTACCACCCATGGGAGGGTCCTTCCCAACCCTTGACCTAGCAATGGAAGGGAGCCCAGATAGGCTCATTCCTCCCCCTTAGAGAATGGGAGTCTGTCTGGTGGCATGACACCAGCTGACAAGGGGGAGCACTGGGAGTCCAGCCAGGAATAAGCCACCACGGAGGTATTCTCCTTCCAGACAGACTCCCTCTCTCCCCCTAGAGTTTCCTGGGTGGGTGGGCGGGCTGAGCCCGAGGGAGAAACCTAGCTATTGCAGGTGGACTAGTCCAGGAAGCCTCTTTATCCCTGCAGCCTAAAGCAAGACTCTCCCACCCAGGGCACTAGCTCAGTAGGGTGGGCTGGGAGGACCAGTTGGGGGACCCACACACCCTCCCTCGACCAAAAGATGCCCACCAGCACCTTGAGGCAGCACCTGCAGGAACCAACAGAAGCCCCAAAGGCACTAGAGAAAACCAAACATACCAGAGTAACAGTGCAAAGTGCTGAAAATTAAGCCGCCATTGAAACCACGGTCCACAAAGTAAGCCGAGCCCCATGCACTAGCCCTCAGTGGGGATGCCTGCTAAAATACAGGATTTACATAGGACCATAATAGACAAAATGTCTAGGACACAACTAACCCATCATACTGTGAACGAAGAAAATCACAACTTGAGTGAAAAAAGATAATGGACGCCAACAGTGATGATCTTGACAAGGATTTTAAAGTAGCCATCTTAAAACTGCAGTTAAGACTGTCAATTAGAAATTCCCTTGAAATAAATTAAAAAATAGAAAACCTTGGCAAAGAAATAGAAATTATAAGAAAGAACCGAATGGAAACTATAGAACTAATAATACAGTAACTTAACAGTTCCATAATAACACCTGCTGGGTAGGTTCACTGTGAACGTGGAGATGACAGAGGACAGGCTCCATGAACTCTAGGACAGAACAACACAACTCACCCAGTCTGAAACAGAGAGAAAATAGACTGGAAAAACAAAACAAAGCCTACGGACCCATGGACAACACGGGATGTGTTGTTAGCACTGTTCAGTGTTTTGGGGCACCTGGGTGGCTCAGTCAGTTAAGCGTATGCCTTCAGCTCACAGGTCATGATCTCAAGCCCTGCATGGGGCTCCCTGCTCAGCAGGGAGTCTGCATCTCCCTCTCCCTCTGCCCCTCCGCCCCACTTGTACTCTCTTGCTCTCTCAAATAAATAAAATTTTTTTTAAAGATTTTACTTATTAGAGAGAGAACGAGAGAGAGCATGAGCTAGGAATTAGTAAGAATATAGCATCAAGACTACTTTAAACATAAGGGATTTCATTCTCGGGTTCCTAAAAATAAAGTCAGTTTTAGTCTAATAATTATGAAATTGAATTATAAGATCATTGATAGAAAACAAACACCAAACAGCACCCATGCCCACTTGGTAACGTCAGGCTTCAGAGTAAAGTAAAAATATTATAAATGAAGTTTCAGCAAAATAATTTTATTTTCTAACACATGGTAAACATATACAT